AACCCTCAATTTTCAATCGTCACAATTTTTTTCTGAAAGTGATCAGAAGCCTCTTAAACGTCTATTTCTTTCGTTTTTTGCCTCGTAGGACCTTCGCCACTGGATCGATTTTCAAAAACTACAAGATTTTTCGTCCTTGACGCAGTAGTAACCTATTGTAATTGATTGATTTACATACCATATACAGGGTGTTCCTTAATAATATGCGAATATTTAAGGGTGTGAATCTACATGAAAAATTAATGTTAGTTTGCTTTATAAACTATGGTCCAAAAATGTTTCTTTACAAAAACTCGGGGTGTTGAAGTTTTAGGAAAAAATGGAAATTAATTAATATTTTCACATATTTCACTGGTATTTAGTACGTAGTGAAATTCAATGAAGTTGCATATTTTTCAATGCAAAAATAATTTTTAGCTTCAACAGTGGCGTGCGTACAGGTATTCACTTCAATATTCTTTACGAAAAAAATGGTACACCAATGGTTTTTTACCAAATAAAAATTGCTTTTGAATTGCCCGTTCAATTTATAACAAATGATCTTTTTTGAATTGTTTTCCTTTGATGCGCGATTTTTGAGTGAAAAAATAAAAACCGTTCTATTGTCTAACTTGCAAAATTATTATTAATTTATTTGGAAAAATTAAACACATTAGGCGTAATGAACAACAACAACTGACTACATAAACATAACATTAAAACCAACGAAATGATTACAAAAATTGTTGAAAATGGCCCCCTTCACAAGCTGCAACTATTCTTTCTCTTAATTCCTCTACAGTGTTAATGGGACTTGTGAACACTGGTGTCTTAAGATAGCCCCACCAAAATAAATCTGAACTGTTGAGGTCTGGGGACCTTGGTGGCCATTCTTGGGTCCCACCGCGGCTAATCCAACGATTTGGATAAACAGTTTGTAAATAATTACGAACCGCTACACTGAAATGCGCTGGTGCACTATCATGCATGAACCCACATATTGTGTCTTATTACTAACTGAACATCATCAAACAGCAAAGGCAACTGTTATTGAAGAAAATTGAGGTAAGTCTGTCCGTCAAGTCGTCCAGGCAAGAAGAATGGGCCAATAATGTGGTTGCCAATAAATCCTGCTCATACGTTAACCGAAAATTAGTGTTGGAAATGGGTTTCGGTTACGGCATAGGGATTTTCTGCTGCCCACAAGTGATTATTGTGGAAATTCTGAATGGCATTTCGAGAAAAACTAGCTTCGTCCGTACACAGAATCATTGATTCAAATTGCGGATTTTGTGTAATTTTTGCAAGATACCACTGACAAAAGGTCACACGCCTTGGAAAATCAATGGGAAGTAATGCCTGTACTCTTAAAATATGGTAAGAAGATAACAAAAAATCCACTAAAATTCTCCAAACAATTTGATAGCAAATATTTAAGTGTCTAGCGATCTTCTTCGTACTCGTTTCAGGATGTTTTTCGACGTCGTGCATCACTGCTTCCTCAATTTCAGGTGTTCTCACACTTAGAGCTCTACCTTATGATCTTCCTTTTCGGACAGAACCAGCTTCAACAAGACGACGATGAATATTAGGAAAGGTTCGAGTATCTGGCAAAGCACGATCGGGATATCTCTGGAGGTAAATCCATCTGGCTTGCTCATCATTACCGTCGGCAAGGCCCCATACGTAATGCATTTCCACCATTTCTTCACTTGAATAATTCACCATTATTAACAAGATTGTAAAAACTAAATAATGAAAAAGATGTCACAGCGAACAGATTTGAATAACGGAGACTTGTCAGATATAAAAGGCCAGTGACATATCCCAGAGCAACTAGATATTTATTGCTAAATTGCATTCTTCAATTATTACATTAATTTTCTGGGACAATAGAACCGTTTTTATTTTTTTACTCAAAAATGGCGCATCGGAGGAAAACAATTCAAGAGAGATCATTTTTTTAAATTGAACGGGAAATTCAAAAATAATTTTTATTTGGCAAAAAATCATTGGCGTACTATTTTTTTCTTAAAAAATATCGAAGTCAATACCCGTACGCACGCCACTGTTAAACCTAAAAATTATTTTTGCATTGAAAAATATGCATTTTATTAACTTTCACTACGTACTGAATATCAGTGAAATATCTGAAGCGGTTCTGAAAATATAAATAAATTTTTTCCTAAAACTTCAACACACCGAGTTTTTGTAAGGAAACATTTTTGGACCATAGTTTATAAAGCAAACTAACATTAATTTTTCATATAGATTTACACCCTTAAATATTCGCATATCATTAAGGAACACCCTGTATATCATCCAAAAAACATAATTTCTGATTTTCGCAATTACAATGCTTCCTCATCACTGGCGTAGGGAATCAAAGTAAACTTTGTATGCTTTTAGAATACATTTTTAGTTATTCATCTTACGTTCTAAATAAATAACAAAATAGGGTTCCGGTTTTGGGAACTAAAAATAAATCTGATAGACTATACCGTGTATTTAAAACTCCACTCTCACCAATCTCGGAAATGGTAAGGGATACGAAGTCGATTAAATCTGGACAACGTTAGGTAACTAAGGCCCGTATCGTCAGTCGTCCCTACAATTGTAGGGCGCGTTTATGGCCTCCTTGATTGTCATACTCCTTTCTCTCCTTCAAAAATTTCTAGATTTCACTTGTCCCGTGTCAGCATCAGCGCTTCTTTTTAAATTATAGGAAATTTCAGGCTGATAATACATGATATAACTCAAAAGCAAGCACACTTTGATGCAAATAGATGTTTGTGAGATAACCTCAAAATAGAGCGCTGACAGGGAGAAGTAGAAAACTATGACAATCAAGAAGGCCATAAAGGCTCCCTACAATTGTAGGGTGCGTTTATGGCCTCCTTGATTGTCATACTCTTTTCTTTCCTTCAAAAATTTCTAGATTGCACTCGTCCCGTGTCAGCGTCAGCGCTCTCCTATTGTTAAGATATTATGTTTTCCTTTTAAATTGTAGGAAATTTCAGGCTGATAAAACATGATATAACTCAAAAGCAAGCACAATTTGATGCAAATAGATGTTTGTGACATAACCTCAAAATAGAGCGCTGACACGGAGAAGTAGAAAACTATGACAATCAAGGAGGCCATAAACGCGCCCTACAATTGTGAAGATATGTTTTTTTTTTAAATTGTAGGAAATTTCAGGCTGATAACACATGACATAACTCAAAAGCAAGCACAATTTGATGCAAATAGATGTTTGTGACATAACCTCAAAATAGAGCGCTGACACGGAGAAGTAGAAAACTATGACAATCAAGGAGGCCATAAAGGCGCCCTACAACTGTAGGGACGACTGACGATACGGTCCTAAGGGCCGTATCGTCAGTCGTACGTATAATTGTAGGACGCTTTTATGGCCTCCTTGATTTTCAAAGTTTTTCCACCCCTCTATATTGAGGTTATATTACAAATATTTACATCAAATTGTTCATGCTTTTGATTTTTATCATATGTTTTATCACCCCTAAATAATATTGTAAGATTACTTTTCTTACATATTTGAAGTTTTCCAATACAAATTACGTCATGTATCATTAAAATCGGAAATAGAGACTGCTCACCTATGCTTAGTTCATAAAAACTGAAGGAATGCTTGACTGAACAAACGACTGGTAAATCTGGTAATTTTAAGGTCTACTTGGGAAATACTATTTTGAAATAACTAAGGTCTGACTATGTCAATTTACTTCATATTATACATTTTTGGTATCAGAATTAAAAATTCAAATGTTGTGAAAATCCCGGTATATGTAGGAGGTTATTTTTTATATTCCAACAATATTGATAATAAAGGACTAGGTCACATGGTCTCATATGGAAGAAAAAGTAGGTGGCTAGCACCATACCAAACAAGCGGCCACCGTATTAGCTAAAATAAGAAAAAGGACAAATTGACCAGCAACGTACCTATCTGATTAGAGTCCGGTGTGAGACGCTGAAGGATTTGCATATTTTTACATCGACTGCACACCTTGTATGCCGGACGGGTATTAGAAATGCCTTTCAACAGGCGACGAGGAAGACTGTCTGGCACATGCGGAGGCCGGGACCTAGACAAGTTGAACACTGCCATTCTTGGATTACACGGGAATTAGTGTTCAGCTAATTTCGCAGTCGATTCCAAGAATCTGGACATCAAACATCAACCATGGACGTAGGCGTTTTTTAGAAATTAAGCCGTATTCAAACCCGGCAACGAATATTTATGATATGAGTTTAGGATCGCCATCTCTATTTGCTTGACGGCGTTTATTGACTGCTAACCAATAGGAGCGTGGCAATTTGAGGATCGTGCGCTGGTGTTTGTGTTTTGACGGGGAATAAATGATGCTAGAATGCAATATAGCAGTGGCGTATAAGGGGGAGGGGGAATTAGGCAATTAGGAGTATTCCTATAGGCGAAATACTTCTAGTTTCACTAGCATATAATAGTATAACTGCTACAAAACTGAAACAATTATCGCGATAACTTGAAAGTTAAGGAAGTTTCAACATTGTTTGTGTTGGATGCTGTGGCCGACCGTCCTCGCGCGACGAGTTTCGGTCGTGACGTCACATTACATAAGTTCGGCTTCTGGTACACGGCACTAACGCGCCCAGGCAACGCGATGGCACTTACTTATCGCATTCTTTCTTTTCACTCAAGCTTAACACTAGCAATATATTGTTTGTATCTTGGCATAGATTGCTGTGCGATATCAATAATTTACAATAAATAAAATAATAGAAGGCTTTCTGCGTACCAATTCCACTAATCTTCCAAAGATGGACATAATAATGGTTAATTGTTATATAGTGTTTATCATAGTAACTAAACATACCTTCGACTCCGCAATCCATGTTGCCACATCTCAATACAGCTCATTTTTTTTGGTTGGCCATTATCCACATGGCGTAAAATGTAAAAAATAATACATGAGGATTGTTTATCACTTTTTAAATGTTGCAACAGTAAATGCATGGCTTTTATTCAAGGAGAAGGAAAATACAAAAGTGTCACTTCTGGATTTCAAAGCGTCTGTTGCAGCTACCCTAATTCAAGTGCATCAAGTTGGCAAAAGCGTGGAAGGCCATCTTCCCAAGCAGAAACTCCGATAACCTCTAAAAAAAGACCTGGATAAAAACAGCAGTCGAAATTAGAACGGATAACATTGGGCACTATTCTACGAAAAAAGAATATAATACTTTCTCCAAGGTGTCATGACCAAAATTGTAAAAAAAGAACAAGATATGCCTGCAAAAAATGTAATGAGCCGGTTTGTCCAGAATGTATGGAAGAATTCCACCGTTAACACTTTCGCCCGGTGGACACATATGTGTACCTTTAGTTTTTTGTATTTTTTTTATATAAATTTTTTTTGTATCAGAAAATATGTTAGTTTATGTTTGTTCATTATATAATAAAGCAAATTTAATTTATTAGCAGCTTTTTATTTTTTTTCAAATAAATTAGTCCTTGAAAAGGTTAATGATCCATAACCATTGCTAGATTATCTCTCGTTCCAAATGAAACACTGAGTATAGGGGAGTCACTGCTGAAGTGACCGAACGGGAAGAACTTTGAAATTTCATTTATGCAGCTATATTTAGGTCAATGAAGGGCATTTATACCAAACATGTACTTAACATAGGCTTGATGTGCTTATATTTTATATTGTATAAAGTATATATAGGAAGTGGAACCTCCTTGTTGGTGTAGACTATGTACCTAGTATTTGAAAACATCCTAGTTTGTTTAAAGTTATGTCAAGCTTATTTATATATGTAAATGCGTTGAATGCGCACGAGTGCAATATTATTTTATTATTTGAAATGAAGTTACAATTTTTGTGCACATGATCAAGTGGCGTTGTCTCTTTCCCTACTTCAGTGAACTGAATTTGAAATAAAGTGTTGCTTCTAGTGAATAGTGATGATATATTATACCCTGTTTCAGGACAAACAGACAAATAGTTGGTGAAACTTGATCCCATATATAATGAGTTCACAATAAATGAAAGTAAAATAAATCGAATTTTGTTAGTTATAAAATTCGGAAGTTTTTGTTTTGATTTGAAAACGTCAACTATCAATATCAAGTTCTCCCATCTTTTTTTTAATTTGTCAGAGCACAGTTATAATATACTAATAATAACCTATTTAGGAATCGGAGTTTACTTAAACATATGATGCTTGTTCATTGTCACATAGTTAATTAAATTTTCTGGTTGATTAAATAAATGTTTATTTGGTTTAATTAAATTTTTTGTTAGTATGGAGATTTCTCCAGACACACTGCTAGAGTGCGGCTATCCAATATACGAGGGGCTTGCATTTGTTCATCTTCCTGGGACAATCTTATAGTGGTTGCTTCTAGTGTATGGTACAGATTAGAGTTCTTTCGTCCTACTGGGTGAGTTGTGAAGCTTTGTTAGAGATATGCTTCCAGCTTCCAAACTTCTCCACTAACTGCCACAGTTCAGTAGGTCAAATACTGAAACTACCGCATTTCTTTGGTGCAAACAGCCAACTTAACTGACCATATGGTCTTAGCTCAACTCCTGCAGATGTTGTTGTTCAATTCACTAATTTTGAATCAATTCTGGTTCAGGCCCCACAAAATCCGAGCTGCCATTTTACGAAATCGGATTTTCCATCCCCCCTCAACTCCCGTGCTGCACTTTTTCGGTCTGTGAACTTCCGGTGTCGTCGTATCAAATCAGTCAGATCCTCCAACTTGTCGCTTCCTGAGAGGCAACTTCCACCTTTTGCTCGAGGTGATCCCACAGCTCCGTAATGGGTTATCTCCACCTTGAAAGAGGTACAACTGCCTGCCTCAACTCCCGTGGCTAAGGAATGGCTCCCTCTTTAGACATCGCTGCTCTCGGGCAGATACAATAGCTGAGCTCCTTTTCCCCCAGTTTCATTACCCTTCAGGTCGTATACCTTTATGGCCTCCTTGTTTTTCAAAGTTTTTCCAGCCCTTCAGAAAGGTTATATTACAAATATTTACATCAAATTGTTCATGCTTTTGGTTTTTATCATATGTTTTATCAGCCTGAGATTTCCTGCATTCATAGCCACTTTTTGTTTTCAATACGAGCCCTAAATAATATTGTAAGATTACTTTTCTTACATATTTGAAGTTTCATATTAGGGATGTCTTTTAATTTGTGTATATAGAAACACAGTAGGCCGCGCGGATCGAACGTCAGTACTGAATCTTAACCTCACTCTTTAGTAAACTTAAATTCACAGTTTCACAACAATACGTGCAGTGTTCTCACTACAGTGAATTTTTAAGTGTCACCAAGTCATTAGAAAAATGGAACTCAACCGAGAACATTTTCGCGCCATAATTTATTACAACTTTCAGAGACAATTATCGCATCAAGAATGCCTTGCTGAGTTACTGTCTGTTTTCGGCAACGAAGCGCCACATCAGTCGACTATTTTCCGTTGGTATGGAGAATTCAAACGTGGACGGGTGAGTCTTCCCGACGATCCCAGGGCGGGTGCACCAAAAACGGCAGTCACCCAGGAAAACGTCGATGCTGTGCGCAAACTCATCATTGAAGATACATGTGTGACATATCGCGAGATTGAGGCGTCCTTGAAGATCTCAAAGACCTCAATTCGAAAAATGTTACATGAAGAATTAGGAGTAAGAAAATTAGTTTCTCGTTGGATACCCCACCTGTTGACTGAAGAGCAGGAAGCAGCCAGGGATAATTGGTGTCAAAAAACGCTTGCCCGTTTCAATTCCGGAAACTCAAAAAATGTGTACAGCATTGTTAGCGGTGATGAATCTTGGATTTACTGTTATGAACCAGAAAATAAACGACAGTCGGCTGTTTGGGTGTTCCAAGGTGAAGAACATCCAACAAAAGTCATCCGTTCTCGAAGTGTTTCGAAAAAGATGCTCGCGACATTTGTATCAAAAGCGGGTCATATTGCAACAATTCCTCTTAATGAGCAAAGAACTGTTACTGCTGATTGGTATACCACCATTTGTTTGCCAAAAGTCATCACCGAGCTTCGAAAAATCAACCCCGAAAGAAGAATCATCCTCCACCAAGACAATGCAAGCTCGCACACAGCCCAAAAAACATGGCAGTATTTCAGGAAGAAAACGTGGAATTATTTGACCATCCTCCATATAGTCCCGATCTAAGTCCTAACGATTTCTTTACTTTCACGAAAATTAAAAACAGACTGCATGGTCAAAGGTTCCAGTCACCAGAAGAAGCAGTTGACGCATTCAAAAATGCCGTTTTGGATCTGCCACCAAACGAGTGGAATAAGTGCTTCGAAAATTGGTTCGAGCGCATGCAGATGTGTATTAATCTTCGTGGAAAATACTTCGAAGAACAATAAAGTCATTTAAAACTACCTACCGTGTTGTTTTATTTCCATATGCAAAACTTAAAAGACATCCCTCGTAATACCAATTTATGTTATATGTAATATCATTAAAATCTGAAATTAAGACTGCTCACCTGTGCTTAGTTCATAAAAACTGAAGGAATGTTTTGCTGAACAAATGACTGGTAAATCTGCTAATGTCAAGGTCTACTTAGAAAATACTTTTTTGAAATAACTAAGGTCTGACAATGTTAATTTACGACATATACATTTTTGGTGTCAGAATTAAAAATTCGAATGTTGTGAAAATCCCGGTATAGGCAGGAGGTTATTTTTTTATACTCCAACAATACTGATAACAAAGCACTAGGTCAAATGGTGTCATATAGAAGAAAAAGTAGGTAGCTAGCACCATGCCAAACAAGCAGCCACCGGATTAGCTAAAATAAGAAAAAGGACAAATTGACCAGCAACGTATCTGATTAGAGTCCGGTGTGAGACACTGAAGGATTTGCATATTTTTACATCGACTGCACAAGTGGTTGACATCAGCGCAACCCCACCCAAAAAAAGGGCTAAGAAGCTACATTTAAGTGCAAATGAAAAACAAATAATATTAAATATATACAAAAACCAAATTCAAGAAAAACCCGATTTGGTCGTGGACGAAGTTATATGTAAGGTAGCACATATTTCTGGAGTATGTCGGTCCAGTGTTTATAGGATCATTAAGGAATATAGGAGCACTCACTCACTTTCTGAGCCAAAACCGTATCCTGCAAGAAAAAGGATAACGGACGGAGTAGATGACTTTGACAGAACTGCCATCAGGAGGAAAGTGCATAATTTTTTCTTCCGAAATGAGATACCTACAGTAGATAAGATATTAAGATTAGTTAATGCTGATGAGGATCTTCCATCATTTAACAGAACCACATTCCAAAAACTTTTGAAGGAACTTAATTTTCGATTCTTGAAACGGGGAAGAAACAGTATGTTAATAGAGAAAGAAGAAATTGTTGTGTGGAGAAGGGAATACCTTAGGAAGATTCGGAAGTTTCGCGATGAAAAAAGAAAAATTTACTATTTGGACGAAACGTGGGTGAATGCTGGACATACTCAAGCGAAAGTTTGGGTCGACAAATCAGTAACATCATCAAGGCAGGCTTTTCTAGACGGTCTTTCGGCTGGATTGAAAAATCCTGCAGGTAAGCTCCTTCATCTATCCGGCAATTTAGTTTTGATAAATTCGGGCAAATAATATGCTGTGATAGCAGATAATGTGTGATATTCTCCAAAAATGGTGCATTCGCAGTGTAGTCATTAGGAAAAAAACTTCGACCCTCTTTTAAGCGTTATTTTGAAATTTATTATCATTTTTGGGTGCAGTCAATTTGCTTTGAATGGGTTTTGAGAAGTTGCAAACTTCAATTTTCTACGTTTTTCAGTTTTTGATCAGCATTCCGTGACTCTTAAATTCAGCTAAATGAACTCAATTGCCTCATTCCTTCAAATTTAATCAATCCATAGTGTAAGGAATAATTTATTTCCAGGAAAAGGCAAACGGCTGATCATTTGTCACGTAGGTAGTGAAGACGGCTTTGTTCCCGAAGCACTGTGGGCCTTTGAATCAAAAAAGACAGGGGACTATCATGAGGAGATGGACGGCAATTCCTTTGAAAATTGGTTCTCCAAAATGTTACTAAAGCTGGAGAATAACGCTGTTATTGTACTGGATAATGCCCCGTACCATTCTA